TTAAGCTCAGGGCTCACCAATTAATATTTCTTTACCCTGCTACGGTTTAGTTTCAAACTTCTGCTCAGAGAGCAGCCTGGGCTGCTCAGATCAGGGCTGCCACTCCTGTGAGCAGGCAAAGGAGCTGCGTGGTTGGGCCGGCCCCAAACCCACTTTATTTTGAAGCAAAAACCTGTTGAGGGTAAGAGAAGGGAAGAAGGAATGGAAGGATAAAACTGACAGGAACTGGAGAACATGACAGCGGATGAAGAGCAAGAAGGTGCTGCCAGTTTGTAGATGGCTCTGAGACGTGACATGGCACCAATGCCCATGGCACAGACGGATCAGCTGCAATCTTGGCTCACCAAATCTGAGTTTGAGGCAGTTTCAGGCTCTTCTGTGTAGCAACTACCCACCAGGCCAGCCCCCGCCCCACCTGCGGCGCTCCCTCCCTATGGACAACATATGGCACGTCTCACCTCATTAGAGACATAACTAGCAGAAATAATAAGCAAGTCTTTACACAAAATCTGAACTAGTGCACTAGAACAGGCTCTTCAGCCCTGAGGTTTTTGGTGTGTCCCACCAAACCCTGTTCCAAAATCCAGCTGTGCGTCCTGTAGCCTGCTCGTCCTCCACACCACCAGCTTGGGCAATATCAACTGGGCAAAGCAGAGTTAAATGTGCAGATCAATACTCATATCAAGGCAGCTTCTGAGAGGTTTCAGTTGGTTAAGTAGCCTTGAGATTTTGGCTGTGAAAGGCAGTGCTGCTGACGTGGCCGTAGGTGCACTCCGGGGTCATCCATACAATTGCGATCTCCGGAGGAAGTTGCTGACGAGAGGGAATCATAGAATCATTTATGTCAGAAAAGACCTCTAAGAACATCGAGTCCAAACGATCCCCCAGCACTGCCAAGCCCACCACTAAGCCACGTCCCCAAGGGCCACATCTACACAGCTTTTAAATCCATCCAGGGATGGCGACTCCATCACTGCGCTGGGCAGCCTGCTCCAAGGCTTCAGAAGCTTTTCAGTGAAGATATTTTTCCTAATATCCAATCTAAACCTCCTCTGGTGCAACTTGAGGTCATTTCCTCTCATCCTGCCTGTTACAGCTGCTGGGATAGGATGCAGGAACCCCTCATGGGTGGAAACCTGCAAGCAGCTCTACAACACATACACTAAAACTTTTACTTTTTTCCACTTTTTAATTAACACCAGCCCTCTGCCACCGTGCACCACGAGGGACCACATTGTGATGATGCAGTCCCATCATGCAGTCCCACCACGCTGGACCAGGTAAAGGACAAGAGAAGAGGAGCCTACACGATGGCCTGCTAGGAGTTTTGTCCCCAGCATGATGGGGACATCAGATGAGGATGCTGGCCCTCAGCCTGGACAGCTTCTCCTCTCCAAGACAGGTCCTGAAGCCACCCCAGGGCCACCAAGGAAAGGCCAGATGATGCTGCAAATCAGCAGAAGTCTTTCCACTGTTTTCTTTGAGGAAAAAGCACGTTTACCTCTGCGTCTGCTTTCACCAGCAGAAAAAAACTTTAGAGACTCCTAGGAGCAAAACCCCAACGCTCCTCTGTCACCCAAAAGGGCATCCTCACAGACACGTGAGGCACAAACCAGGAGCACTGCTGGCTCCTGCCAGCTGCAGGGTTTTTCCCAGTATGATCGAGGAGCACCGTGGGAAGCACGCACGGAAAACAACCATATCATAAACCAACTCAACTTCATGACCTGAACGTTTTAAGACATAGCAGGAGCCTTTGTAGTGTGGCCATAACTGCAATATATCAGCTAGCCATCGCTTCCACCAAGATCTAGTGCTCCAGATCTCACAGCAAATGCTGACTTAAAGACCCATATCAAATACATTATGATACCACTGTTTCCCGTTACCCACGCTGATGATTCAATTAATTTAAAAACAGCAGTGAAATTTAATTTTAACATTAACCCTGCAATCCCCAGCAAACGCCAGCTGGGAAGGCGGCAGCCACCTGCCCAAGTTTGGATGGACAGGAGGGGTAGGAACAAAGCGAAGGGGTAAAAGATGAGGAAATACAGATGTGAGAAGCAAAACAGGGCAAAGCAGGTTCTTTTCTAAACCGTCTGATGGGGTAGAAAGTACAGGAAAGTTTGCAGGAGAGACAGGGAGCAGATGAGGGGTTGCAGAGCAGCATCTGCAAAGGGTTTCATTGAGAAGAGGCTCTTGCAAGAAAGGCTCACTCTTCTCCTTCCACTTCCATCAGTACCACTCAAACTCACAGGGTCCTGCCCAACTCCAAAGACAAATGCCATGCAGAGCACAAAATACACCAGCAGGCACCCTCCGAAAGGACAGCCCCCAGAGCCTGCCCAGGCCTTGCCTCGGATCCATCAGCAGGGCCAAGGGTTAACAAGAACCATCAAACGGAGAGCAATCTGCTCTTTCACAGGGGTAAAAGGTTGCCCTTTCGAGATCTGCAGGGATGGTCTGCACGTAGGCTCAGGCCTCGGGTCAAGTGGGGTTCACCCAGGGCTCCAGCAGGCAGCCCAGCTCACACAGAGCAGAGCGCAGAAGGGACACGGCCGCCCGACCAGCTTCCCTCCCCGACACGTGGCCGGAGAAGAATAGTTAGCCCAAGCAGAGCTCTCCCATCTGCTTTTGTTTTCCACTCTTCAGTCCTGGGCTCTGCTAAAGCCCCTGAAGTCACCGGGCATCTGTTCTCCTCCACCCATCGCAATCTGCCAGCCACCGCCGCTCTGACAGCCATCCATCACGCCGTAATACGCTGACCACGAGACCCAGTGGGACATCATTTTCAAGTCAAATGCTGCAGTTAGCATAAAATAAAGCATCGCCCTGGTTTGGTTTTTTTTTTTCTTTCTTTCCCCCTTCCCGACGATCCCGCAGCTGCAGCAAGGGACTCGGTATGCAACAAAAGTGAAGGGGGGGAAAAAGGCACAGGAAAATGGCAATTCTACTCTTCTGAGTCATAACAATTATGACGTTGTGATAAGAAACGTTTTCTATGAATTTTTAAGTACCAGTAATCCTGTTTTGCAATTGTCCCCCGGGAACAAGGCGACAGATTGAATGGGGCTGACAGTTATTTCCATCCTGCCGAACGCGGCTCCGACGCGCCGTCTCCTCCCTCCGAACTTCCCGGCCCAGCGCCCAGCCCACCGCTCCAGCTTGTTTGGTGCAAGCAACATGGAGCTGGCTTGGCCACTGGTGTGACCGAGGACATCCCCAAACAGCCTCTGAAACCACCCCACGGGCTCCAAGCCCCAAGCACACACTCTTCTGTGCGCCCACAGAGCAGCACACAGGGAGGAGATGCACCTTTGGAATCTCCTTTTCCCTGGACACACAGCCATGCCCTCAAGAAACCTTCAGCTGTGAGCTACGAAGTGAGCTGAGCGCCTTGGTTCCCCCAATCCTGCCACAGCAACCACCCTCGGAAGTCAGGAAAGATGGAGATCAACAGGGAAAGCACTGCTCGATGTTTTGCTACTTGAGATTCCAAAATTTTCACCGCCACGCTAAAACTCTGCAGATTTATCTCACTGATACAGGAGAGAAGGCGGCAGGAAACACCTTTTTGTTCAAGTCTTTCAGACTGGGAACAAAACCAGCTCCTTTTACCTCTTTTGTAAAATGAGCACCGTCATCAGAATCAGTGCCGAGGAGCGAATTTGTTTTGCAGAGGATCAAATAAATAATGGATGACGAAGGAAAGCTGCCACGGCGAGCCTGCTCGGGAGATGCTCTGCTCTAGGCAGCCTTTCCCGAAATGCTCCTAACAGATCCTCACGCTGGCTCCAGCTCCAGCAGTGCTCCCCAAACCCAGGTACCAAGGGGTGCTCTGGCCAGAATGACACTCTCCAAGACATTATGGCTGTTGTCTTTGGCAACCCTTACCGATGATGAGAATGTGTTTTAGTTGCTGCCAGGCAAGGGAAGAGATGTGGGATGTGCTCCTACAAACCCAGGGCATTGCATGGGCCTGGGAGTCCAGCAGCCTGGCACAGGGCAGCTTCCCTACAGGAAAACCCAGTTTGCTGTCCTGTGTTGGCCATTCTCAGCCACCAGCCCCTCAGTCTCAATCCTTAAAAAAAAAATCTGTTGTTTATTTTTTTTAAAAAAAGAGGAAATACTAAATTTCTGCTTCCCTGCAAGCAGTCACCCCATGCCTCTGCCACCTCCGCCCTGGAATGGCTCTGTGCCACCAAGCCAGAGCTCAGCAAGTGTGGGGACCATGCCACATTCCCACCTACAAGGAAAGCTTGGGCCTTCAGTGCTCTATAGCCAGGAGACATTAAAATCAGCCTGTCAATTTACATGCAAATTTATTTTAGATGCGACAGAGGGCTTACAAAATAAGGTGTACTAGATGCTGTTTGCTTCTGCTAAGGCTGGTTTGGCTCCCAAGGGTGCTGGATGGGTGAGCTTGAGGGGCAGGTGCTGGGATGCAGAGGCTTTCACCTCTGGATCAGTGTGTGGCTGAAACCCAGCTCCCCAAGGACCAGAACCCTGGGTGTGAGGGCAGCGCAGGCACAGAAGCGTGCCCACCACCACTGCCCCTCTGCCTGGCAATCCCTCCTTGGCATGACCCCACCTCGGTAAGATTCCCCCACATCCTTTGTCTTGTGCTTTGTTTCCCTCCTCAGAGCCTGGGGAAGCCTTCCTCCCCTCCTCCTCCTCGTCCCCAGCACCCAGCAGGTCCCCGGGGCGGTTTCTCAGAAAGCGCAACCGTTTCTGCAGAAAGTTTGGCACTTGGGGCCAATGGCAGGAGTTTCTTTAATCAACTCAAATGGCATTTTCTGCAGATAAGTCTCCCACTCTCGGCCGCCAAGAAAAAGCCAGTCAGACAGCAGCAAGGGAAAAAAAATACCCAACCCAACCCCCCCCCCCCACCCAACAGAGGCTGCAAAGTCACCGCACAAGCTCGCAGGGTGATTATTTATAGCCTTTCCCTCTGCAAAAGCCAAAAATAATTGTTCCAGCCCAATTAATGAATTTCTGAACGCTGGGCTCAGGGGTAGCCACCAAAGTGCAGCACTTTGAGCTACTTGCAATGTATTGGGCTCTAGAACAATGTATTTAAGAAGGGAGAAAACTTATTGTGCAGGAGCAACTGCAGACAGAGGAGAGAGGAGTGAGAAGATGAAAGCAACAACGCTGCAGACCCCAAGGTCAGTGGGGAAGGAGGGGGAGGAGGCGCTCCAGGCACCAGAGCAGAGATTCCCCTGAGCTCCACGGAGCTCCATGGTGGAGCTGAGATCCCCCTGCAGCCCATGGGGAACCCCACACTGCAGCAGGGGGATGCCCAAAGGAGGCTGTGACCCCATGGAAGGGACCCACCCTGGAGCAGTTTGGGAAGAACTGCAGCCCAGGAGAAGGACCCATGTTGGAGAATTTTGTGTAGGACTGTCTCTTGTGGAAGGAACACCATGCTGGAGCAGGGGAAGAGTGGGAGGAGTCCTCTCCTGAGGAGGAAGGAGCAGCAGAGACAACTGTGATGAACCGACCACAGCCCCCATTCCCTGTCCCCTGGAGCTGCTGGTGGAAAGGAGGGAGAGAAAACCAGGAGTGAAGTTGGGCCCAGAAAGAAGGACGGGGTAGGGGGAAGGCCATTTAAGGTTTAGTTTGTATTTCTCATTATCATTTTCTGATTTGATTGGCAATAAATCAAATTCATTTTCACTCACGTTGAGTCAGCTTTGCCTGTGGGTGATGTTTCCCTGTCCTTATCCAACCCATGGGCCTTCCGTGGTATTTCCTCTCTCCTGTCCAGCTGAGCAGTGACAGAGTGGCTTTGGGGGGCAGCTGGCACCCAGGTGGGCTCAGCCCAGCACCTGCAAGTGCCACCTGCTGAGGTGGGGTGGCTGAAGGCCATGGGCAGCTCTGGAGAGCCAACATGCCGTGGGCACGGCCGCGCTTCCCGGAGGCCAGGGTTTGGGGAGCAGGATGTGTCTTCCCAGCCCATCTCCATGGGGCTGAACTGGAGCTCCCAAGGGGGTCCCCAATAAAGGGCTGGGCTCTAACAAGGTTTAACTACAGCCACTGCTGAACCCCAGAAACCCCTGTGAAAACCTGACCATGCTCACCAGCTGGGAACAAATGTGGGAAAACACTGAGTTGGGATCCTTCCAGCCTGGCCCAAACCTAGCAAGACCAAAAGCCTGCTGCAGCCCCCTCCTCAGACATTCCACCCTTCCTCAGCTTCCCATTTCTCCTCACAAGCCCTCTGGTTTTGTTTGGAGAGCGTTATCCCTTCTCCACAAGCTCAACCCACTCACACCACCGCTGCCCTTTCTACCAGCAGGAGAAGAGGAGCAACTGCATTTGCATGGGAAGAGAGGTGGGGGGAAAGCACCAGGCATCCTCTCCAAGTTCCCAAGCTCTGCAAGCAAACCTTCTCTAATAAAAAAAAAAAAAAAAAAAAAAAAAAAAAAAAAAAAAAAAAAATTACATTGTCTTGGTTTTGTCTGGGATAGAGTTAATTTTCTTCCTAGTAGCTGGTACAGTGCTGTGTTATGAATTCAGTATGAGAACAACATTGATAACACACTGGTGTTTTTGCTGTTGCTAAGTAGTGCTTACTTCAAGTCAAGGACTTTTCAGCTTCCCATGTTCTGCCAGCGAGGAGGTGCACAAGAAATGAGGGAGAATGGCCAGGAGAGCTGACACAAACTGGCCAAAGGGTTACTCTGTACCACAGAATGTCATGTCCAGTATATAAACTGGGGGAATTTGGCCAGGAAGCCTGGAGACAGGCTGGGCATTAGTCAGTAGGTGGTGAGGAATTATATAGTGCACCTGTTTTATGGTTTACTTCTCTCTTTCTATCATGTCCCTTTTCATTCCTATTATATTTTATTTCAATTAATAAACTACTCTTATCACAATCCATGGGTTTTACTTTCCCCTCCTGCCCTCCATTCTCCTCCCCATCTCACTGGAGCAGAGGTATGAGCAAGACATATGGTACTTAATGTGGTTTAATCCCAATCAGAAAATCATATATATACATATACCCCATATATATGGCACGTGTGACAAACATCCACAGACCAGAACTGCTGCTGGTGGAGCCAAGCCAAGGGGTGGTTCAGGGCTCCACAGTTGCTGCCCTAGCAGTCAAAACTGATCTCCCAGATTGGGTATCACACACCCTGGGAATATTCATCTCTTGGCTAGCCCCTAGACAAGCCAACTACCCACAACCCAGCATGAGCCCCAGACACAGCTGCTGAGGACATGGATGCCTTTTGAGGGAGAAAGCCTGGGTTCCCTCTGTATCCCATCTCTGTCTGTTGGCTTGACCCACTGAGGAGTCTCAAAAAAATACCAGTTTTGTAAAAATTGGTAAAGCAGGGAGAAACCCAACTGCTCTGGTAGCTCCAGCTGAAGAGCCAGCAGAGGAACTTGTGTGGGAACCCACACTAGAGATGCTCCCATAGCAAACCCACAAATAGACACATTTCTTTCTTTTTAGAGACAGCATATACTTTTTCCTTATTGGGGAAGGAGTTTTCCTTTGCTATCCCCCTTGGGAGGACCAGATGTGTCCTGCTGAGCTGCTCTCATGACAGCAAACCCCCGAGGTCCCCGTGAGACGCGCCCTACGCTACAGAGCACCCTGTGCCAGCAGGTGCTCCCACCTCAGGCAGCCAGCAGAGCAGATTCCTAAACCCACCAAAACCTGCCCGTTCCTTTCCACACAACTCATCCCACCCCACTACCATCTCCACCTCTGGATGACCCCCAGAGGGAGAGGCGCACATCCTGCATCCACGGGACACCTCCAAGCAGCGCGAGCTGGGGCTCGAGCCCGCCAGCGCGGGCTTCAAACTGACCTAGAGCACCCCAGATGGGAGGAATTCGGGGCAGGGGGACCCTATCTTTACCCCTGCAAAGCTCTGCCCCCCCTTTCCCGCGAGGCTGTGCTGGCTGCAGCCGCTCCCGCGATCCAAGCGGAGCAGATGGCACGCGCAACACTTACGGCTTCGCTTTCCAGCCGCCATCGCAGAGCTGCTTCCCAGCAGGGCGGAGGCGGGGGGGAGACGGCTTTTTTTTTTTTTTAAATATATTTTCCCTGGGAATTTTTGATTTTCTTTTAAAAAACCCCCATGTATAACCCCGTGCTCGAGCCCCCGGAGCCCCCGGCAGCGGAGCATGGCGCTCCACGGAAGGACGGTGCATGCTGGCTGATTGGCAGCCTGTCCGTCTGTCCGTGCCTGGGGACCCGGCTGACCGCCCGAAATCCCCGCCGAGAGGGACAAATCCTGGAAAGCCTCACAAAGCAGAGATATGGGAAAAAAAAAGGGATGAAGTGATCAAAAAGAGGGCTTTCTAGGGATTCTGCTGGCTCGCCGGGATTTCTTCCCTTTGCCTCCCTCCAGCCTCTGCCTCTGCCATCCCAGTCCTGAGTGGAGAAGACCCAGAGGGAAAGCAGAGCTGTTTCAGCTCCCTGGGACATTGGTCCTCCTGTCTCCATCACATAAGATGGAGCAAGGGAGATGCTGTCCCATCCAGGCTGATGACAGGCTCTGGGGCCATTTGCCAGCTTGGGGATCAGACTTGGGGTCCAGTGTCACTACATGCCACAGTCCTCTCATCCTACTCCGATGGCTCAAACCAGGTTTTCTACTTCCCAGTGGAAGCCAACACCTCAAATGAGGCTGGGAAACCATAAATCTGGGCATCGCAGACACCAGATTGCTTTCAGCAGCCGCGCTCTGCACAGAGCTCGGCGATAAGTAACAAAAAGTCTGTGCTTTGCACCACTGATTTCTTGTCTGGGGATGCATAAAACCTGGAGATGACAGATCAGCACCTCGATCCAAGAGCATCCCCGCCCTCACTCTGCCGGAGAGGCGGGTAAACAAAGGCGGCTCTCCCCGCCGTCCGTCCGCAGGCAGCTGCCATCGACGCCGTGGAGTAGTGGGAGGGGGAAAAAAACAAAAGAGGTCTGCACGCTGGGATCTGCGGGAATGGGATGCCCCTGGCGCTATCCCGGCCCTTTTATTCCATGGGTACCCAGAGGGAGCTTGGCCCCAGCCCTTTGGACACCCTCCTTCCCGCAGGGTCTCCTTGCCCAGCCATCCTGGCGGGGTGCCAAGGGCAGAGCCACACTCCACAACCACTCAGCATCCAGCAAGGGGGAAAACATCCCGGGTTTGGGCACAGAGAGTGGCTTGGCCATCCTGGCAAAGAGCTCAAGGATGATTTGGACCAGGATGCAACAGTTCTGTGCCGACGGGCACTGTTGGGTGTGACCAACATCCATTGGAATCCTGTGCTGGATTGCTCAGGCAGAAGTTTGAGCCCCATCCAATGGTGCACAGAGATTTAGTAAGGCCAGATCAGGCAGGGAAGATCTGGGATGCAGTTTCTTAATTTAGATGGCATTGGAAAGGACAAGTGGGGATCACCAATGCTTTGCACAGGGTCGTGACTACAGCAAAGGAAAAGGGACAGTGCTGGGAAATGCCAACTTGAGGATGTTTTAACAAAAAAAAAAACCAACAAGGTGGCCATGGCTGTGGCAGTGAAATGCCCAGGTCTTGGTCTATCCATCCGTGGGTATGTGCTGGTTGTGCCCCTTGGCCCAGTGAGCCCAGAGGCACCTAAAGCAGCTGGAATAATGCTGCCACTCTCCTCCCAAAGCCCACCAACCTTCCCCAAAATACTGGTTGGATGCTGCATCTCAACTCCATCACCTTTTCCAACCACTGTGCTTCCCTGTTCATGCCCCATCTGTTTGTTACTAGAGCCACAGACCCCAACACACAGGGTTTGGAAGTACCAATGAGCACACCTTCAGCTCTGCGGCCGCATGGATTATTTCATCAGGGGCCACCACGGCAAATCCTTTCAAAGGAGGAAAGGCAAGGTAGGAAACCATCTTTACAATCCCAAAGTTGAATAATTATCACCTGGGCTGCGGGAAGCCCTCTCCCCCTTTCTGAGCAAGAGCTCCCAGGACGCAGCAGTGCCCAGGGAGGGGACAGTGCCGCTGGCCCCTCCGGGGCTTTGCCAAGGAATGCCGGGGGCGGCAGCGGGGGGAGCAGCGGCGGTGGCGGTGCTGGGAAGGGAACCAGCTGGAGAGCCGCAGCCTCATGAAATAATGAAATGCCAAACCAACCCCTGCATCTTCCACAGTCTCTCAGGTCACCTACCAGATTAGGAGGCCTGTTGCTAAGGCAACCATATCTTGCAAGTGCTAGCTGAACTTCCCCATCGGTTTTAACCCTTTAAGGAGCAAAAAAAAAAAAAACAACCCAAACCAAAAACAACCTCCCTAAGAAATACGTATGAAAATAAAATGAGGGGGTAATGCTGATGATGCAACCCACAGGAGACCAGTGGAGGCAAAGGGGGGGCAGCTGGGAAGGGGAAGCAAAGGGAAGGCACCCCAGCAGCCACCTCCTGCACAGTGCACGCTGTGCTGGCTCCTTTCCAGGCAGCTAATAAAATTATTCGGCATCCACACACGCACACAAGACCCAGCAAACTTTTGATGCGCCTGGCACAGCAGCAGGGGAGTTAAAAAAAAAAAGCCCCTCCCTGAAAGGCAACAAAAAGTAAAAAAAAAAAAAAAAAAAAGCCCCTCCTTG